GTTTCTCTGTAGCTCTGGTGCCTGTCCTGGAACTAGCTCTTGTAGACCAGGCTGGCCTCAAACTCACAGAGATCTGTCTGCCTCTGCCTCCCAAGTGCTGGGATTAAAGGCATGCACCACCACTGCCTGGCCTTTGTCAGAATTTTTTAACGGGTTTAGAACGTTTAAACTATTGACATTTTAGAAGACTGTGAGACTCTTAAAAGTGATACCGTGTTTTATATTTTGATGTTAACATGAGGTCTTGAGAAGAAGGAATGGTTATGGCTTTAAGGGATCTGTTTGTGTGTGGAAATTGACAAGGGGTCAACTCGCAATGACTAATCTTTGATGGCTGCCAACCTGAAATACCTGGAAGAAAGTACTTCACCTGAGATTGCCTTATGGACACATCTGTGGGATATTTTACAGAATGATGTGGAAAGGGTCAGCCCACTGTGGGTAATGCCACCCATGGCCAGGTGGTCCGGGAAGTTGTAAGACGGGTCGCTAAATGTGGATCTAGAGCAAGCCAGTAAGTAGCACACAGTCTCTACTACAGTCCCTGTATCCAGGTTCCAGTTGAGATCCTACCCTGACTTCCTTCAATGATGGACTCTGACTTTAAACTTAAACCTTTTCCTCAATGGTTTGGTTCCGGTCAGTATTTCATTACAGTAGCCGATAGTGAACTAATGCAAGAGAATATTAAGATTACTGAGGTAACAAATCTTAGTTGTGAATGCTCAAAAAAAATGTGATACTTTTAGTTTTCATTAACTTGCAACAATTTAGCAAGGGAGAGCATTTTGCTGTGGAAGTGGTGACAGATGTAGAGGAAGTGGTCATGCTAGTTTCTGGCATCTTACCATTGAGAATGCTTTCACAGCCCTGTGAAGTAGACCCCAGGGCCAGTGAGCTCTGGAATGAGACTTGGACTCCTACCTCCACCCCTTATTGTTTCAGAAGCCCAGAGGAATGTCTTAGCTCCTCCAAGCTTTGAACCATTCATCTGGAAAATGGGCCTAATACGACCTCATTAAGTATTTATTCAACTCAGTGCCCTAATAAACAATACCAAGAGTCATAAACGGTCTGGTGCACACAAGGCTTCACGGATTTTTATTATCAACACAGTAAGGCTGTAGTTTCGAAAGCAGCAAGAAACCGCTTCCAGTTGGCTACTGCAGGGGTTTAGATGATCTTGAGTTTATAGACCAGGAAACACATTCTGCCTCATGACCCATGTTCCCCCAGTTCCCATGTGTGCAGACCATACTGTGTGTGTATATATATATATATATATATATATATATATATCTTCAATTCAAATTTGGTTCAAGCTCAAGCTAGAAAAAAATCTCAGCATAGAGAAGGGGGAATCAGCACAAAGTTGCTCTCCTGACCAAGGAGCTATTTACAACTGATAAATGCTAGGAGATGTTGAATCAGTTTTCTTCAATGGAGTGACATTTGGTATACTGATCACGCTCCAGGGAAGGCCCTGTAAAAAAATAAATAAATAATGTCCTTGAAAATATTTTCTGGTTACACTGTTGTCACGAATCATTTGCTATGGCCAGCACCTCCTCCTTAATGTATTAAGACAAAATTAATTTCTGAAGCTTATACCCTTTATAATTGGCATAGTTTTTGTCTTAGTCATAGACCACCTGCAATAATATTATTGTATGTATCCTACATAAAACAGAAGTGTCAAGGGCATGCCAGCCTTTGGCTCTTGTATATGATAGCTGTGCTGGAGACACCTAATAAGAACTTTGAGTGCACAGCTGAAATCAGCAATAAATGCAGACTGGTTCTGATACACGTATCGCTACATTTTACAACCCTTCTTGAACGGTCTTATAATTAGTTTCAAAGTGGATGACACAGTAGCCCCAAACTTCAACTAACTAATTGTGTGTAAGTTATCTGAACAAGCATTTCAGTTAAATACAAGGCTCAGACAACTAATCATTAAAATCAGAATGAAAAACTCCAGGTTTATTGTTCAGAAGCCACCGATGCCATATGTCTAATGAGTTTTCCTCTACTGAATGAAAAGCTGAAGGTGCCTCCTCAGTGTGACATGCAGTAGCTGGTAGCCATTGTAGGGTCAGAGTGGCCAAATATGTTGGTTGAATCTGAGTGAAGAAATCTGATTACTAGAACTTAGAGGCAAAGCTTTATTTTCTACTTGCTAATGCTCTTACAACTTAAAATTTATTTTAGTCCCATAAATATCTAAGAAAAATTCAGCAATAAATACCACTTAGTATTACAAAAAGAAAATGAAGACGTTTTACTAAAAGTATGTATGCAATATAATATATATATACACAGAAAGAGCTCTTAATAAAAAATATAAATAATTTGTGATTCGAATTTTTTAAGAAAATCCTATTATAAATTGAAGGGATAATGAGGGATAGCGTGTGCACACACACACCCACACACCCACACTCACACACAAACATTTGGCTTCATAAATGTAGGCCACCCTAGCCCAAAGATTATATCTGAGAGACCATACAAAAGTATTTGTATGTAGTTTCTTGACTTAATCTGTGAGTTCTTACAGTGTGATGCAATGATCATTTAGCATCAATAACAATAAATCTTGTAGTGAAGTGCATGGTGATTGGAATTCCAGAATTTGAGGTGGAGGCAGGAAGATTATTATTCTGTGGTTAGGCAGCCTGGGCACCATACCATCTGGCTTTGTAACATCAAAGAAATGTTGTGAATTAAGAAAATACACTCATATAATTTTATACAATTCACTTGAAATAACTTTCTATTGTGTAGGTACACACATGTGCACATGCACACACATGCATTTATGCAGTATGTGTACATGTAAGAGTAGACACACATGTGCTATGGAACGCCTGTGGAAGAGAGAGGACACCCTGGAGTGTTTGTCCCCATCTTTCACTTGTTTGGGACAGGATCAGCTCCTGCTTCACCCTGCTGTAAGAATTCTGGGATGACTGACCTGTGAGCTCTTGTGGTGTCTCTTGCCTCCACCTCCCAAGCTACTGTGTCCAGGGTATGTGTGTTCCAGGGACCCAACCCAGGTCCTCACAGCTGCCTAGCCAGCACCTTTGTCACTGAACCCTCTCTCTGGCCCAGGCTGGCTTTTCACACTCATTTTTTGTTACCAATTACTTTCTTCGCTCCCCAAGAGGAATAACTGATGAAGCCAGCAAGCTTCTAGTCACAGCTTCTAAGGCAAAATTTCTTCTCCCCTCTGTTATCTGCTGCTTTTCTCTATCCTAGAATTAGAGGAGGCACTGAATGCCAAAGAGAGTAGGGCCCGGCTGGTTAAGGGAAGGTGAATTCATTGTGAATTAGCTTTTTTTCTTACTTGAACCGAATACCTGCAATCACTGATTGTCACATTAATCTTTTGTTGTAAAACTGAGCTAATTGAAGATGCTGCCCTCAGGGGACCAGCTCGTGGTGCAATGAGTGTGGAGAGCCCTCTTCAGTTTAACATTTTAATTATTCATAATTATAATTATTTCTGTTTATCTGGGATGTTTGGAAAATAATTCTAGCTTATTAAACAAAATGAGAAGCTGAGTCATTGGGGTTTTGTTTTGTTTCTTACTGAGGTCAGCAGGTCTGGGAGTATGCCAATTTCTCATAAGCACTAACCAGTTTCCTGGCTGTTGGGTAGTCACAATGGACATGTGACCTGCCCTGCAGTAACTGAATACATTTGTTCCTCTCTGATTGCTTTAGAATCACAGGCTCCACAGTGACTCTGAGGATGAGGATTGACAACAGCCCAAGTGGGGAACTGTAGATAATTTATGACAATATGTTAATCAGTGAGGAAATTCAACAAGGTCATTTGCTGATATTAGCCAAGTGTACAGCTTTTTCTTTTTTCTTACACCCATAGCTTTTCTAAAAAGAACATGTGTGTTGAGCCATAGGTTCCTATTGGCAGTTGTTAGCTGCTGGGAGCAGGAGAGACAGTTGTCATTAACAATGTACCTTGGCAAGCTGTCTGCTCCTCAATGGAAGAACACATAACCAAGAATCTGGACAGCCTAATGGAGTCTTGAAGGATTTTTTTTTTAAATAAGAAGGTTGGGTGGGTAGAAAAGAGAGTGTGGATCTTGGAAGAGTAGTGGGAAGGGGAAACAAATATGTTCAAAGCACGTGATATTAAGCTCTCAAACAATGAAGGAAAATAAAGTCAAAAAAAGAACTTGTGGATGTATTTCCTGGGTCTCTGTGTGTATTCATGCATAAGTGTTTGCTTCATGTTTTAAATATATTAGAATCCTTTGCACTAAAATAAAGATGGATTTCTGGGCTCCTTGGGATTTTGTACCTACTCTTATTGATCTAGGTTGGTGATAATGATGTGTTAATTTTCTACAATCTATATATAAGTCACCCATGTTCTAAGTAGTAACCCAATAGAGTGACTGTCACCTTCAAAAGCTTTTTCCAGTTTAGTTGTCTGTCATCTATCCCATCTATCTCTTGTTTTTAGCCTCTCATACATTTTAGTTTTAGATTCAAACATGCACTCTGAAGTTAGAGAATTCTTTTGTCTTCCGGTAGCCTGTAGCCAAAGGTAGGAATGATTGATGTGGAGAATCACCATGTCTATAAAAAGGTCAACACAGAGATGCACAAGATGTAGCATTTTTAAAGAGAATGCATCTATCCATGCTCACATTCAAAGTCTGGGAGTCCAGAGAAGAAACCAAGTTCTGCTTGATAACAATATTTGGAAGTGCACATGAGCATCCCCATTTTTAAATCCCCTCCCAGTCAAGTAGAATGAATAATTGTGTATTGTTTTCTGGGATTAAGATCTACTTTGTGATTTATGCCCCTTATCAAAAACTTGTTTAACAAATATACTAGAATAACTATAGGGGAAAATGCTGTTTTCCATCAAAAATATGTCTATTTCCACAAGCAATGTTTAACCATAGCTACTAAGAAAAGCAATTTTTTAAAAATCGTTTGTAATAATTACTTTCTAGGTGTTCGCAAACAGAAAACTTCCCAGGACAAGCAGAAGGTGAGGCGAGAGCATGGGACACCCACTAGCCAGATAATCCTCGCTGGAGTAACTGAGAAGTGTCTGAATGTAGGTATGTGTATGGCGGACCTCTCCTTAACCTTCTTCCTTCAACCACACTGGCTACCTCACCAGCACTCTGAAGGCATGCTTGCATGCACACAGGAGTGTCCATGCAGAAACTCCTGATATGCCACCAGCATGAGGTCTTCCTGGTCTTCTGAGCTTTTAAACATGATGTAAAACAATCTACAATGTGATTGTTAGTCTCCTCCCGCTCTCTAGTCTCAATATTCTTACTTCCTCCTTACTGAAACCTATCCTTCTTTGAACGAAGAAACCCTTTTTCTTTCATGTATGAACTATCTAAAATACATTTTCAAATAACGCTTTGTTGGTCTTAGTTCTTCTATGATAGAGAAGATGAACAGATTAAGAGCATATACATTTGAAGTAGATAAGTTTGAGCACCCATTCCGGCAATATCTAGGTGATGTACTTTGGCAAGTCTCTTTGTTAAATCATTCTATTCTTTAATTCTCTTGTCTCCAAAAGTGAGGATAATAAGACTGTCAGTAGGTTTTCACCCGTGTGACAGATACCAGAGATAAACAGCTTCAAGAAGAAAATTTGTTCTCACAGTTTCAGTGGTTTTAGTTTATGGTGAGTTGACTCTATGTTTCTGATTCTGTGATGACCAGTATGGCAGAAGGACTTGGTGAGGAGAGTTCCAGCAACTGATGGCAGGCAGAAAACAGAGAGTGGAATCAAGGATCCAGGACAAGATGAATCCTTTAAAGACATACCCTCCATGACCTACTTCTCCAGCCTAACTCTATCCTCTATTCCCCAAACCCGTCCCAAATTATTATATCATTCACCTATCGAAGGCTTTAGTCATGGCTGAAGGAAAGCCTTCACAACTGAAACACTGAAGAGGGATGAGTCCTGCCAACTGAGAGAAAACGTCAACCATCAATCTTGTAGAGACACGTACTATAAAAAAAAATGACAGATGGCATGCATGTTGTTGGATTGCTCTTACGACTAAGTACAATAATGGGGAAAAGTTTCAAATTGGTGTTCAAGACATAGTAAACCACCAAAGATTCTCAATCAATTCTCGCACTAAATGCTGGAAAGTAGATGGCATGGTCCCATTTCAAAATAAGAATGTTCTTGGGAGGCAGAGGCAGGCGGATCTCTGTGAGTTCAAGACCAGCCTGGTCTACAGAGCTAGTTCCAGGACAGGCTTCAAAGCCACAGAGAAACCCTGTCTCGAAAAAAAAAAAGAAAGAAAAAGAAAAGAAAGAAAAAATAAGAATGTTATGACCCTAGAGGGTTAGATTGCTGTCTGAAAACACAGAAGGATGTAAATTAGCAGGAAATGTCTGACATAACAGCTGGGCTCAACATCACCAGACACAATAGATGCCCATCAATTAGTTGATATTGATATTGATGAAATATTTTCTTAGCCATTCATAAACTTTTAAACTAACATATTATGAGATTATACAAAACTTGAGTCTTCAAAAGACATACTGAATGTCTGTAGCTCAGTGGTAGAAGGCTCACCTAGTATATACAAAACCCTGAGGTCAAGCCCCAGCACCTCAAAAAGATAGAATCAAAATATAGATCTGTGTATTGCATGATACTGCACAAATGTGTATGTATGTGGTGAAAGTGTCTGTAGGCAAGAGATATCTTCATTTATCAGGCTCCACCTTAGATTTTGAGACAAGCTTTCTCTCGCTGAACCTAAAACTTGTCAATATAGTTAGACTGGATGGTCAGCTAGCTTCAGATATCTTCATCTCTCACTTTGCTTCTCCAGCACTGAGATTTTAATTAGATGCCATCCTTCCTGGCTTTTATACATTGAAATGGTGACCTCATGTTTACAAGGCAAAAATTTTGCTGAGTTATCTCCCTAGCCCCAAGAATGTAAAATATGTTTAGCTGATAGTAAATGCATTATATTAATGGATTACTTTGAATTGAATTATAATTACTGGATTATTTATTTGTTTTTGTTTTGTTTTATTTTTTGGCTTGATCCAGAGGCATTTCAAGTATTTCTGTTTGGAGGCATTGAATAAAAGAGGGAATGCTAGTATATTTTAAATTTTGGGTCATTCTATGATTAGGATGATTTAAGTAATGGAAACAGCAGAAATATTTAACACATTCCTTTTTAATGTTGAGTTTCATTATTTTTATTTATGTGAAGGTGTATATGTCTATATGGCAGGTGCCTGTGGCTTAGAGGCACCTGATCCCCTGGAGCTGGAATCACAGACAGTTGTGAGCTGCCTGATATGAGTGTTAGGAAAACAATTCAGGTTCTTTAGAAGAACAGCCAGTGCTTTTGACTTTTGAACCCTCTCTCAATCCCTATTTAACATATTTTCATCTCTCTTTATTCCCTAAGAGGCAGCCCCGCCCCCCTTCTTCCACCTTTCACCCTGTCCCACTTGAGCTGGTGCACGTCAGATATAGTATCCCAAGCTAAAAAATAACCTGTAGAATCTGGGAGAATATGCAGAAAAACTATAAAATTTAGATGAAAGTGTATTAAAATTCTTTTTGGAGAATTTACAAAGTTACATGGCAACATAGCTAACTAGCCCATCTTGAAATCTCTTTCTGTCAAGGAAGTCATACATTGGTCCCATGCTTCTGCAGAAATTATGATGGTTTGTAGTAGACTGATAGATCCATTCTTAAATTCAACTTTGCCCCCTGTGCTTACTAGGTGATATAGTAGTCACAAGACCAAAGTGAGCCCCAGATTCAGATTCTCTGTTTAGTCACTAATTTGAAGTGTTCTCAGGCACGTTACATACGCTCATGCCTTGATTTCCTCATCTCATATGACATTATTATGAGAATGAAAATATTTTATGCAAACAGAATTGAAATGATCAGAGGTCCTATAACAAATTACAGTTATGAATAAGAGATATGTAAATACTGATGCAGCTAAGAAATGATTCAAAACTCCTGGAAGGCAGAGATCAAGAAATAGACATGATAAAAGAAAATGAAAGATACAGAAACACCAAACTGTATAGAGATTCGGGGAGCAGACTGGGGAAAGGCTCAGCAATGATAACCTTTGCTGGAGAGGTTGTGGAGGAAGGGGTACACTCATCCATTGCTGGTGGGAATGCAAAGTTGTCCAACCACTTTGGAAATCAGTGTGGCGGTTTCTCAGGAAATTCGGGATCAACCTACCCCTGGACCCAGCAATACCACTCTTGGGAATATACCCAAGAGATGCCCTATCATATGACAAAAAAAAGCATTTGTTCAAGTATGTTCATAGCAGCATTATTTGTAATAGCCAGAACCTGGAAACAACCTAGATGCCCTTCAATGGAAGAATGGATGAAGAAAGTGTGGAATATATACATATTAGAGTACTACGCTGCGGTAAAAAACAATGACTTCTCGAATTTGGCACTGTGTTTTGATTCTACTGCATGTACTGGCTTTGTGGGAGCCTAGTCTGTTTGGATGCTCACCTTCCTAGACCTGTATGGAGGGGGGAGGACCTTGGACATCCCACAGGGCAGGGAACTATGACTGATCTTTGGACTGTAGAGGGAGGGAGAGGGGGAGTGGGGGGAGGTAGAGGAAAATGAAAGGAGGTGGAAATTTTTAATAATAATAATAATAATAATAATAATAATAATAATAAACAATATAGCAAAAAGAAAGAAAATAATCCTACCCAGAGAAGAAATCTGTTTCAGAAATCTAAGGCTCGGTTGGAGAATCGCTAGTCAATGGCTCAATTCTATCTCCAATTTTGACTGTCAAATTTTTCTAAAAATACAAACTTAAAATGCCAACAATACTTTTGAGGTTTTTAACACCCTCCTTAGGAGGTGGCATGGATCATTATTGCTACTTATTAAGCATCTTGACAGAACTGGATTCCAGGATAATTATTACAGGAATATAACAAGAAATGATTAATATGGGGCTTCCTGGGGGCGGGGATATAGTCCTCACTTACAAAAGTGCTTTGTAAGCAGTAAGTATCTATACAAATACTGTTCCCAATAAAGGTGTTTACAATGGTACTATTACAAAGTAGTAAGACACAATTGGGAAAGTTTCTCTGCCTCTTTTACTTAAAGTGTTCATGAGCATGTGTTCTTCAACACACAGCAGAACAGCGTTGGCTGAAAACACTCAGACTTTGTATCTGCTATTCATGGGCTGCCTGTTGCATGCTTGTCTTTGTTCAGGTTTCTATTGTTGTGATAGAACACCATGACCAAAATCAACTTGAGGAGGACTCTGGGTTTAGTTCAGCTCACAACTCTTGGGTCACATTCCTTGCTGAGGGAAGTCAAGGCAGGAACTCAAGGCAAGAAACCGGATGTGGATGGAGCCCATGGAGGAGTGTTGCTCACTGGCTTGCTTCTTATGACTCATTTAGCCTGCCTTCTTATACAACCCAAGACCACTAGCTCAGGGGTAGCACCACCCACAGTGAGATGATCACTCCCACATCAATTATCATTCAAAAAAATGCACCACAGGATTGCTTAGAAACCATATAGTGAAGGCATTTTCTCAGCTGAAGTTCCTTCTTCCAAAATGACTTTAGCTTGTGTCAAGGTAACACAAAACTAGCAAAAACAATGCCAAACACTTTTAAATATTTGTCTGGTTGGTTGGTTGGTTAGTTTGGTTGGTTTGGTTTTGGTTTTGTTTTGTTCATTTCATAAGGGATAAGTGTGTGTGTGTGTGTGTGTGTGTGTGTGTGTGTGTGTGTTCAAATATTACTGGAGAGATATTTCACCATCTTAGACAGTTAAGGAAATTGAGGCTCAGATATTTTAATAAATAATAAGATAATAATTGGTAAAGCCATGATTCAAACACATGTCCATTTTGACTCCAGTATTCATGCTCTGCAATTTTTAGCTAAGTCAGGAGGTAATGAGTGAAAGAGACATGTGCATAATAAAAACAGTAATAATAGCTATCATTCATCAACGTGCCAGGCGCTGGGCTAGATACCCATGAGATTCAAATCCATCATCCTAA